AAGATTTTTCAGCCTTTGCAGTCTTTATATATATATACAGTATATATATATATCAGTAAATGATCATTGGACTGAGCATTTTATTTTAACAACATATGTACTAAAAGGTATTTTGACAACAAATGTGTATCAGCTGTAGCAGCATCACATGAATTCTGACATTTTACACATAGTCCACCAGGAGGCGCCAACACAAAAGTCAGAGACTTCACATGAGATTTGGACCATCTTCTGGGGCAAAAGCAGATTACTTCCTACTCGCGAGCGCCCCCTCTGGTGGGGAAACTTTTTTCAAGGATACAAACTTTTTCAGAACACCGGTAGACGGCAGCCACTACAGACAAACATGTGTTTGTTGTTGTTCGAGGAGCGGCCCGGTCACACGCTAATGTCATTAGTTCGTTATCATTACTAAGGTGTAGGACTACTCACCCCCCCCCCCACACACACACACACACACACACACACACTTTGTCTCACATCATGTCGCCTGCTTGGATCTGTTATTATCTCGCTCTGAAGCACGGACGAGTGTCAGAGGTAAGCTTGTTTCAACTGCTTTTTATGATGCGGTCTCATTTCCAGACTCATGCATTTTGTGAATGAAGCCAATATTTCAGTTAAAATACATAAGTAAAAATATATATCTGAGTATAATACTACCCCCCAACTTTATGGATGATTTTATGGATTAAATTTTACGTATTATACTTGAATAAATACGGTGATTTTGCATAAAAACATAATACAATATTTGATTGTGTGGAAAACTTTAATGACGGTCCTTCATTAGATTGTTAAGCTATGATTTGCTCACAGTCTTTGTAAGAAAAATGCAAGATATTCAAGTTTTCAAACATTGTCAGGCGTTTAATAAATTGAAAACATAATCCCTGCAAAGCCGTTGAAGGCTGCAGAAAAATAGGACAGTATTTTCAAAATGCCATTTGCTTAGATTGTAAAATGAACCATAAATTTTATTTAGTGAGAATGAGGAAAATCAAACAGTGGAGTGTCAGACCAAGAAGAGACTCAGAAATTTGCTTCCTGTAAAACGATAATTAAAATTGCTGCTTAACCGAAAGAAAAATTCCAATAGGCACTAACACCTGGACAAATGTGATCGCCTTTACGAATATAAAATAAATTTAAAATGAATAAAATGCTGGGAAATTCAAAGAAAATACCACACCATCTGTGAAGAAAATAAAGAAAAATACTGTTCGCAGTTTAAAAGAGTTGATGTTGATGAATAATATCCTCCAATCTGAAATAGCCTCAAGAGACAGAAGAGGGACTGAAAAATCCACCAAATTATAAATAATATACATTTGGCCATTTACAAAAAATGTCTTTTTTACAACCTTAAATGATTGTGAAGTTCTGCTCATTCAAAATTTTATCAGCTTTATCAGATTTTTAGACTGAAACTGAAGACAGAAAGATGAATATTTTATGGTCCTCTGCTAAAAGACAAAGGTAAACAATAATGGGTTTTGTTTGTGTGTATCTGGTTATACATGTCCCACATAACAAAACTTGTTTGGCCTAGTTCTGGCCCACACAATGCACATACTGTATACCATAAAGATTGACGGCCCTTTGGAGGCCCAGAGGTGACCCATTCGTAGGCCAGCACCACACAAACCAAACCACAACAGGGCCAGCATGCCATCTTAAAAAAAGTGTCATCATTGCCAGACCTGGCCCACATCCAGTTGGAAAACTACTTATCATGCGGCAGTCAACAAGCAGGGACACCAGATCTGGCCCATAATTGTCTGGTATGTGGGATGCGTGTGTGTTCTATCCTGTGAGGACCCGCTGGTCCTTATGGGGCCTAAAACCATGGTCACATAAGTTCAAATGCTGTTTTTGGGTTGGGATTTATGTTTAGGACTAAGGTGAAAATTGAGGGGGTGTTAGTTTTAGGGTAAGGGCCAGGGTGACGATAAAAAGACATGACATGACAGGCTGGAATTCCCTACTATGTGGAGACTGTTTTTGGCATACACACCTACTTGTGGGGACCAACTGGTACTTATGGGGACCTAAGTCTTATCCCCATGGGAGGAAATACTGTTGATGGGTCAAGGGTTAGGTTTAGGACTAAGGTGTGACTTGAGTTTAGGTCAGATTTAGGGTCAGGTACCTGTGAGTTTAGGTCAGATTTAGGGTCAGGTACCTGTGAGGGTAGATTTAGGGTAAGGGTTCAGGGTAAGTCAATGCAATATCCCCATAAAGATAGCTGTACTAAACTGTGCATGTGTGGGCACATTTTTGCTACATTGTAGGAACCAGTTTCCAGAAAAACACAGCCTTGTGGGGATCAAATGCGTATCAACGGGAGCAAAGCCTGGTCACCATGAGTACGGATGCTAATTTTGGGTGGGGAGTTGGGTTTAGGACCAAGGTCCGAATTGAGTTTAGGTCAGCGTTAGGGACAGGTAAGTACTGGTGAGGTAAATTTTAAGGTAAATGGTCAGGGTTAGGCTATAAAATTACCAGAAAATGAATGGAAGTCAATCCATGGTCCCAACGGGGATATAAAAAACAAACCTCTGTGTGTGTGTGTGTGTGTGTGTGTGTGTGTGTGTGTGTGTGTGTGTGTGTG